AAAAAAAAAAAGAAAAAAAAAAAGAAAGTAAAAAGAGAAGAGAAGAGAGAAGAAAAGGAAAAAAAGAAAAAGAAATCTCACACAGCTATCACCAAAGTTAAGGCCAGAACCTGACCACACTGAAACGACCACGAAATGGTGAGGCATCTAACACGTGGACACAGAAGGACAGAGTGCCAGGAATTCTAAATACACAGCTGAATATTCTTCAGGCTTCTTTTAGATTCTTTATCCTGCTGGTCTTTTTCTCTATGGTCCACAGTCGCTTTAAAAAAATTATTATTTTTAGAAAATCAACATGTTCCTGCCCTTCACCCCTTCGTAAGGCATAGAAAGACCTCACAAAGGAGGGAAAGGGAACAGTAATGTCGTAAAGGTTGTGTCCAAAATGTGGCAGAGGTGGCTCTCGTGTGGAGATTTGGAAGCAGGCTTCATGGTGTCACTGAGCTGAGGCGGGACACACACAACGGAGCCGGAGTTTCATAAATGACGTGTGTTTAGGTTTCAACACCTCGGATGGGAGAAGCTCCCAGAACCTTCCTTCCCCAGGCGGCCGCTGACCAACTGTCCGTGAGGTGCCAACATGCTGGGAAAACTGGTTTTACCTAAAAGAGGACGAACAAGAGTCAGCCTTCCAGCAGAGGCCCGCGCACACTCTCTCATCTGTTTTTCTTCATGGAAAGCACGATAGTGCATGCACGTGCACATGAGATGAAGAGACAGGCACCCTCCACGGGCTCGGGTCCCACAGGGGTCCTTTTCCTCTAGCCCAGCGGATCCTAGGCCCCCGCACACACGCACGGTATATTTCCCGAGCTGGGTCTCACACCCCGAGCTCCACGTGGGATTTGACTTCTCCTGAGCAGTGCATACCACCGTGACCCAGAGCCGGCCCTCCACACCCATGCCAACTCCTCCTTAACAGTCTCCATCCTTCCACCCACACTGTCCCTCTCTCCTCCCTCCAGCTCTGTCCTTGCGTACAAGCTGACTTCTCAGCCCCGGAAAATGCACATTCCCCAACCACAGGTCCTTGTAGCATGCTGTCTGGAAGACCAACTCCACGCTTCCAGACAACTCATTCTCCTTCCTTGGCTTCCAGCTCAGGACCCTTCCTAACGCCCCACACAGACCCCCTCATACACAGCCTCTTTTCTCCTTGAATCCTTCCTTCCTAGCCCTCAAACTGGGGAGAGTGGGGGGAAGGCAGTATGCCAGGGGTTGGCGAAACTTTTTCTGTAGAAAGTCCTGAGTCAATATTTTGGACTTTGTAGGCCCTGCCACCTCTGTGGCCACCCTGCTATGGGGGCAGAAAAGCAGCCACAGGGCTGGCTCAATGGTGTGGTAGTTAAGGCAGCTGGATGCCACATGGCCAACTGTGTGGTTCTCAAACTACAGGTCTGGGACTCAAACCAGTTAGGTGTATGTGTATGTGTGCCCCAAATCCCAAGGAGAGAATGGGGGAAAAGGCATTGTGGTGTGGCCATCTGCCCTGGGGGGATGATTTCTCACTCTCTTTCTCTCTGTCTCTCTGGCAAGCACACACTAGAGCAAAAACTCTAAAAAACATAAAATAAAAGAGAGAAGGATGATTTCCATCTACTCTTTTAAAATTTTTTGTTCTGTTTAATCTTTTTCCCCCCAAATAAAAGTTGTTTAAAGAAAGAAGCTTTAGGGCCAGCTCCAGGAACTGGTGGTTAAGACAGCTGGATCTGACAGAGCTGGTGGACCACACATCTTGAGTCCCAGACCTAGTGGCCTAACAAACATGCCAGACGCATGTGTACGCGTGCCCAAAGTCCTGCAAGGAGGGAGAAATAGAGGAGAAGGGATTGTAGGGTGGTCACTCCCATGGGTGGGGGGGGGCCGCAGTGCTCTTTCTTCTCTCTGAAGAGTATACCTGCCTCTAACGAAAACAAAAGAATCAAAGTTTGAGGGAGTAAAAATATCCCAGTAGAGTGACAGCCTCTGTTCCCCAAGCCCCTCCTCGGCAGGGACCTTCATGGCTTTAAGCCTAAAAATGGCCTCACTACTCACCCAGCCACTTCGTCTCGTCTAGAAAGAGCTTCTTGCACCCTCCTGGCTGCCCACAGCACCCTGATCACCCTGATCCTCCTGGAGGTCACCTTAGCAACATCAATGTCCCTAGCTTCCCCCCTTCTCAACAGCAGCTCCTGGAGGGTAGGCCCAGGCTCACCCTGCCAGCGCCGGAGGGAATTAGCAGGCTGGTGAGTGAGGTGCATGGGCCCTTCCTCCTCCACTAGAGCCACCACACCACTAATGGCAATCACGCTTCATCGCTAAGATGAACCAGCGTGAATGTCGATATTGAGCTCTCCTCCACCAAGGGGAAAAAAAAAAGTCAAAAGTGACAATGCAAAGAAAGAAAAGAGAAGTGACAGTGTGTCTAGCCACATGACTCAGGCTTACTCAGATTTCCAACAGTCCCATACAATGACAGTGGGTCAGATCCGTCCTAGAGGAGGGCGACACGTCCCAGCTTGTGTCTGTCCATGTTCTACAAGAAGCTCGAAATAGCCTTCAACACGGAGCACCTGTCTCAGGGCAGCTGGCAAAGACGTCTCAGGAACGAAGGGTGGAGAGGCCGGGCAGAGGGAGCCAGGCCCATCTGTGATGGCTGGTATCCCATGCCCAAGACGGACAGATGGACGGGCACGGGAATGACACCATCGCATTTCAGGAGAGCCCCCAGCAGTTCTGCTTACATCCCAAGACACAAAACACATCCCGAGGACAGCAACAACTGACAGATGGGGCTTCCTTTTGCAAAAACATGGTTCTTTGGGGTTATGGGTGCTGTTTTTCGTTTTCTTTCGCCTGATCCTTTGGCAGCACTATGAACAGCAGGCAGGAACCTGAGTCAGTTAGATCCATGTAGCAGTAAGTTTTCATTGCCACCAACTTCTGTTCACGTGGGCTCCCGCCCTGTAGACCTCCAGCCTAAAAAGTTCTGAGGCACCTTGGCTTAGAGCATGTCATCTCAACTGAAAACTGTGCCCGGAGTGCCAATAACTCTTTTCCAAAGAATCTAAATGCTCCCTGACATCGTTAAATGAAATAAACCAGGCACATGCCACATGTCCTACTCACATATAGAAGCTAAAAAACAAACCTCAGAGAAAAAGATTGTAGAACAGTAGTTACTAGAGGTCAGGAAGGCTTGCGGAGAGAGGGATTAGGGAGATGCTGATAATAGGTACTAAATTACAATGAGAAGAAGCCAACCAGGTGGTGTGAGGGTTAAGGTGGCTGGATCTCACAAGGCCAAGCGTGTGATTTGAGACCTGGACCTAGCGGCTTAGAAAATACGCGGGGTGTGTGTGCATGGGGGTTTATGTGCATATGCTTATGTGCCCAAAAATCCTACCAGAGAGACAGAAAGCAAGAAAATACCCTCCCAGGAGGGATGGCCATGTAGCAATCCCTTCTCCTTCATTCTCCTCTCGGGATCTTGGGCACGCATGCACACGTGCCTGGCTGAGTTTAAGCCACTGGGTCTAGGACTCAACTATGTGGGAGTCCAGCGACATAGCCATTATGCCAACTGCTGATCCCAATGTATTTATTTATCTTAATTTGCCAGAGGGCACATGTGCTCACAACAGAGAGACAGAGGTCTGGGGAGAGAGCTCTCCCTGTACAGCATGGTTACACAGCAATCCTCTCTCTCTGATTTCTGCACCCCATTGGGATTTGGGGTACATATGTATGTCTGGTGTGTTTCTCAAGCCACCACCAGGTCCAAGACTTGAGTCACACAGTCAGCCATGGGGGATCCAGGTCCCTAGTCACCAGATCACAATCAGCCTAATTTGTTGTATATTTCAAGATAACTAGAAGAGAGGATTTGCAATGCTCCTGACACAAAATAATGATAACATCTGAGGCAACAGTTATGCAAATAAGCCTCTTTTGATCACAATCCATAGCGTGCACGCACTGAAAAACCACACTGTATCTAACAAATATATACACTTATGTCAATTGAAAATAAAATGTTAAAAGTGCTCCATGAGGCTCCTATTTTTAACACACACATTCTGCGTTCTACATTCTGTATTCTGCAAGGAAGAGGGCTGGTATGAGGACAGCTGCTGCTGCTGCTTCTGGTCCAGGGAGGATGCTCCAGAACCCATGGGGCGTGCCAGTCACCAGCTCCTCTCTGGTTCCTTCTAGGCCTTGGACACACATGATGCCCAACATTTTCATTCTCACAGCTGTCTACTTGCTGATGTTCTTTTTTAAATTTTTAATTGCCAGAAGCTTCATGCACTCACCAGAGAGAGAGCTAAAGAGACAGAAGGGAAGACAGAGAAAGCATCCCCCGTGGGGCAGGATCACACCACAATCCATTCTCCATTTCCTCCATATTGTCAGGGTTAGGGGCACATATGCACACACGCCCCATGTGTTTTCCAAGCTGCTGGCACCAGGATTCGAACCACAGCTGGCATGTGTGATCTAGCCACCTTAACCACTAGGCTATGAGGCCAGCCCTGCCGGCTGACGCTCTTGAAAGTATAGTTCCTCTTCCTCAGGAGACCATGAAGACATGCCGGGTGAACAGGGGACTTTCCAAGCCCAACCTCTCAGGGGAGCTTAGTGTACGACGTAGCCGCAAGCAGGCAGCACCCTGAATGTGCTCAGGAGTGGCCATACGGCACTCCTGGGGGCCGGGGGGCCCTGAGCTCAGCCTAGGGTGAGCAGGTCAGCTATCTCCTCTTCCTGCAGCTTAACCTGCAGAGATGGGGCCTCCCTCTGCACACGGCCACAGAATGTTCTTTGTTCCCTGCACAAGATGTCAGGCATAGTCCCCAGGGCCGCAGCGGAATTCTCACCGGTTTCTAATTACATCCCCACAGGAAGTTCTATCCACAAGAGGGTGGGGAGCAGACATTTCTAAAATGCATGTCTGCACCCCCACACAATGGGATCTTTTCTACACAGAAGAAGCAGGGGGACACAGACCTCCCTATGGGCTGGGAGGCAGGGCTTGGCAGGAGCTGTCCCTTCTCCCAGCAGCGTAACCTTGGGCTGCGCTTGTCACAGCAGCCCGGCTGCCCACCACATGAGCAGGAGGAGCTGGCATCTGCTCGCCTTGGGGGATACCTAGAGGGGGTAACAAATGTCTCCTGTAATAAACTGGGAGTGCACAGAGGTCCTGAAGCATCCGCCACAAAGGCACGCTAGGCCGACCAAGCTCAAAACACACGCATAACTGAAAACCAAACGCCACTTGAAATACAGAACCCTTTCAAAACCCCAGGGTTCTCTGTATCCACTTAGCTATCATTTCTCCCTTCTAATTAGGCTTTTTAAGTAGGGTCGGAAACTCATTTCTACAGGCTTCTCTGCTTCCCTCCCCGTTGGGCCCTAAGCTCTGGAGGGCTTATCTCATGGACTGGAATATCCCAGTGGCTTGACACACAAAGAGAGGGCTGCCATGTTAGCCAGGTGGTGTGGTGCCTAAGGGCGGCTGGATCCCACTGGCCAAGTGTGGGGTTCAAGTCTTGGACCCGGCAAGCAGAAAAACATGGCAATGCAGCATGGCCATTCCCCTCGGGAGTGGTTTCTCACTTTCCCT